AATCATCATCATTCAATCATTCGAAGCTTAGTTCAAATTCGAAGATGGGCAATAACGGTCCACTCTTTCTGGAACCTCCAATCAGGGGCTAGGTCTAAATGCGGCTATAGTTCATTACCGAACCTTAAGTTCTAATTTGTTGTCTCTCTATCCTCCGCAGTTGAAATGATTACAAAAGGGTCTTAGAATATAAAATGGGGGTTATATGGGGACTACCCCAAAAAGGGGGCGAATATTAATAATTTTTGGTAGGGAGATTTGTTACCATATACGACTACAAAATACCAAATTGCAGTAAATTCGGTTGAAAAACGCGCTCAAGAACCCTAAAATACCGAAAATTGGGGGTATCCTTATATGGGGGCTATCCGAAAAAATGGACCTATATTCATATTTTTTTTGTAAGGAGATTTGGTACCTATTAGGAACTGAAAATACTAAATTACAGCTAATTCGGCGGAAAAATACGATTAAAACCCCCAAAGTACTGAAAATTAGGAGGTACTGTTATATGGGGACTACCAGAAAAAGTGGACCTATATTAATAATTTTTTGTGGAGATATTTAGTTCCCAATAGGAACCTAATGTAGCAAATTTCAGCGAATTCGGTTGAAAAACGCGTTCAAGAACCCCAAAATACCGAAAATTGAGGGGTACCGTTATATGGGGGTACCAGAAAAAGTTGACCTATATTTATAAAATTTAGTAGGGAAATTTTGTACCCAATAAGAACTCAAAGTACCAAACTACAGCCAATTCGGTCGAAAAATGCGACCAAAACACCCAAAATACCGAAAATTGGGGGGTACCCTTATAGGGGTGCTATCCCAAAAAAATGGACCGATATTTATAATTTTTATGTGGGAGATTTGCTATCCAATAAGAACTCAAAGTGCCAAATTTCAGCGAATTCGGTTATGCTCTCAAAAAAAATAGACCGATATTTATAATTTTTAGTGGGGATATTTGCTACCCAATAAGAACTCAATGTACCAAATTTCAGCGTATTCGGTTGAAAAGCGCGCTCAAGAACCCCAAAATATCGAAAATTGGGGGGTACTGTTATATGGGAGCTATGCCTAAACGTAGACCGATATATCCCATCTTCGAACTTGACCTGTCTGCAGACAAAAGACAACCATATGCAAAATTTCAGCACCCTATCTCAATTCCTTCAGAAGATAGCGAACCAAATTTCAGCGCATTCGGTTGAAAAAGATTACAACAGACGGACGGAAGAGGCGTGATTACAACAGACGGACGGACGGACAGACGTACGTACATAGCTACATCGTCTTAGAATTTTACCCTGATCAAGAATATATATACTTTATAGGGTCGGAAATGAATATTTCGATGAGTTACAAACGGAATGACAAAATTGATATACCCTCCATACTATGGTGGAGGGTATAAAAAAACCAGCGGAGATGAGTAACCCCCATTCCCAAAGTCAAAACAACAACTTGAAACCTATTGACGAATATTGACATTTGAGCTCTTCAATGGTTGCTGTTTCGTATTTTTTTCACGATTTTTTTTTATTTCGTTGTCAGTATTTCCGGTCTTGTTCTTCATTCTTTTTTTATACACAAAACATATTCAAATACTTTGCTTACAGCAAAGGGGGAGGAGGCCTTGGCTCCGCTGCGAGATAGCTATTTGTCATTTTTTTTGCTTTTTTTCAGAATTTCCTAACCATTCAAATTCTTAATTGGCAAGATGTCTCTGATGGGTTATTTGAGACTTGATTTGATTGGAAACATCATATATCGAATGTGTGACGGTGTGTAAAGCATACTTTTAGGTGTTAATTAGATGACAAATTCAAATTAATTGCATTTCTGTTTGTTGCCCGGCTGGTTGCAGAGTTTCGATATGTGTTTCGTTTTTTCGTTTTCTATTTCAAATATATATTTGCCATAGGCTCAAAAACTCAATGATGTATAAAGTGTTAATTGATTCACACCTTGAAGAGTAAGTGTAGCGAAACATTTAGAGGGTTTTGAAGGATGAGGAGCTCAATTGCTCTAAAGGAAGAGGGGAATATGATCAATATATATAAAAATATTTATTATTTCGCATTTTTTCGTTTAAAGTACAATATTTATATATTTTCTAATTAAACATTTATTTACAGCCTAAAAGTATGCACCACACTTAATTGAATATTTTAAAGTTACTACATTCAAGTATAAGTGGTGCATACTTTTAGGCACCTTTTCACTTCATATGCTTAAAAGGTGATCCTCTAGTTTATCTTTTAAATAAAAAGTACAAAGAAGAATATTGCTGCGGTACGAAGCATAAATAACTTAATACCGGTGTGTGTATCTAATCTGCCCACGAGCCATACCTCGTCATCTTCCTGCGATCGTGAACAACTGAGAATATCGCAACTATCTCTTAAATAAAAAGTACGAAGAAGAATATAGCTGCGGTGCAAAGTATAAATAACTTAGCACCGCCTTGTGTATTTAATCTGCCCACGAGCCATGCCACGTCATTTTCCGCCGTTGCTCTTCCGTGAGCAACGACGAAAAATGGTAAAAAAGTTTATGAAACATAGGGGAATGGGAACCTCGACCCAACCCTGCGAGACAAGCGAGGACTCAAATTCTAATTTCGAGTCTGACGGACTAGCGTAGAGGATAATAAGCACAAAAACTAGACAGGACTAGACTGGCGAAACAAGTGCGCGAACCACAAACTGAGGCTCGGAGGAATAGACATAAATAACTTAGCACCGACGTGTGTAGCGGATCTAACCACGAGTCATGCCTTGTCATCCTGTGATCGTTAGGATGAGCAATCTCAAACCAACCCTCTGAGACAGGAGGGGACTCAAACTTAAATTCCGAGTCTGAACAGCGTCACAAAACACCAAGACTAACATAACCATCTTAGAATATCGGTGGAGTTAAGAACCTGATATGCTCACAACATGAATGAAACAGTTATCTGGGGCCAAAGGTCACGGGAGAAACATGTGCGTACAGCTGAGTGATGCTCAGATGGATGAGCCTGAGGATGAAAAGGTAATTAGCAAGCCTGCAGATATATAAAGTGGGCTGAGTCAACAGAAAGTTAAATGAAACTGCCACGAAAAATCACCGACTGATGACGGCGAAGCCGGCTCTAATATCAAGAAGACGAACCTTGTATCAAATCTCCTGTACTTACCGGAATTCCAACAGTACTAACCGGCCTTTACAAACGATGAAGAGGATAACAACAGAGAGCCGCCATCATGAGGGCGGCTTAAAATGTCGGAAGAGAGATTCTCAGAAGCCTGATCATCTCTCTATTTCCTCGGAAGCGTCGAAGAGGAAGAGCAGAAGAATACCAAACCCGCAGACTTATATAAAGACTGCTGAGCTGAGCGAAGCTGATTCTAATATCAAGAAGACGGGCGCTAAATCGAAATCTTCTCTATATTCTGGGAAAACAAAAAAGGACTAACCTGACTGGACTTTACGAACGATGAAGAGGGTAGCAACAATTAGCAAAGAGTCGCCACCCGTGGGTATGTTAGTCTTACCCTCGGAATAGGATAAACCAGAGAAATAACAGCGAACAGATTCTCAGAAGGATAAGCCTGATCATCTCTCTATTTCCTCAAAAGCGTCGAAGAGGAAGAGCAGAAGAATGCCAAACTCGCAGAAAAGAGTTTATCGCAGACTGATATAAAGAAAGCTGAGCCCAACCAAATTTAACTAAGACTGTCACGAGAATCCATCGATTGAGTGCGGCGAAGCTGACTCTTATATAATCGAACTCTTCTGTTTATACTGGGAATCCCTAAATGTCTAACCGGACTTCACGAACGAGGAAATGGGTTGCAATAATTGGCAAGTTATCAAAACCCGGACAGAATGAAACGGAGAAATGAATGTGAACAGCAAACTGATACTCAGAAGGATAAGCCTAACCATCACTACATTTGTCGGAAGAGTTGAATAGGTTGCAAACCTGCAGAAAAGAAGACGAGTCGGCTGGTATAAATACTAGCTCAGCCAACCTAATGTTAAATAAGACTGACATTCATTTTGGAGAATAGTTCATTTAAACTAGTTCATTCCACAACAAAATATTCCTCTTCAGAGGTAGAAGATCCCCGAATCTTCTGTACATATGCTATACATACAAGAAGTTTTGAAGGACTTTTATAGATATGAGTACATATATAGGACTTTATTTGGCAGAATATATAATAAATACCTTCTATAAAAAATAAATTTTATATCTCCTTCCAAATATCTTGTATGTATATGGGGCTTCTAAATTTATCATTCTTTTACTAATTACTATAGGTCATTAATATTTTGAGGACTTTTTACAGACCTTTTCCCTAGTTCTATAATAAATTGAAGACCTTAACAAATTGAATACCTTCTATAAGCCCATTATAAATCTTCTGTAGGAAACAGAACTCTGATAATACCTTCTATGTGTCAGCTATTAATGAACCGCCGTTATCAGGCCATCCAAAGATCCACAGGCATTTCCAGCTGTTTCGAGGGTCTAAACAGCTGCTTTCGATACAATCACGCCTAAAACTATGCTTCACACAGAATAAAACAACATTATTTTCCCTCCCTCTCGCTTACTCTCTTTTATTAATTATGCATATGTCCTGTTTATTTCCTGGTATTCACAAACCATTTTATTACTTTTAACACCCAAAGCATACAGACCTTCAATGATTCCTATGGAATCATATTGGACATCATTGGTAGCCTTGAACAGACCTTCTTATTGAGATTTCTTCCCCATTGCTTCCAGCTTTCACTTAAGACCAATCAAGAGATTTCAAAATAGACAAATGAACAGCTGTTTTTAACACGCCTAAAAGTATGCTTTAAAATATATGCATTTTAGCTATTTTCGAGTTTGAACAGCTGTTTGTTAAACTACAAATCAACTGCCTGAAAGTATGCTTCACACATAATAAAACAACATTTATTTAATTATATTTCCTTTCTACTCCGTCCCTCCTTTATTTAACACAATATTGAGCATCCAAAGTCTTCGTTCGTATCCATTTCAGGTGCGATGCCACCCTAGTATTTACCGATGGCTGATTTGAGGCACAAGCAAATCCATAGCTGACAATACCCACAGCATATAGACGTTCGCCGCGTAAATATAACGCCCCACCAGAATCATATTGGCATGTATCCCTCCCCGGTGTATAGGTGCAGAATGCTCCCGCTGGTAAATAATGTATTAACTTTTGACAGCTCTCCCTTGATATAACATCCAATGTGGTCTTCAGCAGTACCGATGACTGTTGACCACCAAATGATGTGGTACCCCAGCCGGCAGTCTCCACGCGATGTCCTGGTACGGGGGCTTTACGATGACCACCTGGTCCAATTACGGGTAAAAATGGTAGGCATGCTGGTCCCACAAAACGATTGTAAGCAATGGCCGTGCGAGTCTTCAGGAGCGCAATGTCGTTGTGTACCCTCGAGGCGGTTGATCGGAAAAATTCGTGTATAATTATTTGGCTAATATCATAATAGCGGGTGTAGGTGGACTCGAGAACTGTGGAGAAGAGAAAGGGAAATCTTTTTATTTTATGCTTCCTAAATTCCTTTCCTTCTATCCTTACCTGTTGAGGTGTCATGTTCACCCACAACCACTTGTAGCAGTTCCGCACGATTTGTCTCCGCTGTCACATAACAATGGGCAGCCGATAACAAATAACGATGATGGACTGAAAAGAAACGGAGAAGAAAAAGAAAACCAAAATTTCTCAAATGAAAGTAAAAACAAAAACACAACAAACATCGAACATCGAACTCACTTATGGCTGCCCCACAAAAAATCTTCGAAGTTTTTTTGGCCATTATACCGGCCATTGCCGGAAACTCATCCAGTCCCGCCACACCTGATGCTCCCACTATTTTCGTTGTCGAACCCCAGCCACAATCGCAAGGTGGTTGTATAACTTCTACCAAACATGAAAATGATCCGCCACCCTCCACTGCACGCAATGCACCACCATACGTTGGGGTGGTGGTACTCTTGTTTGTTGTTTCCGACACAAGGGGACTTGACTGGTGGTAATCTTGACCAACAATTACTTTGGCCACACGTTTTGGGGAAATCTTAGAAATGTCGATTGGGCCATTACGCCATGTGCTGGCCGGCAGGATATCGTAACTGAAATTGAACACACTTGTTGTTGCTGCTGTCGATGATGTGTTGGGTGTCTGAGATGAAGATGCCAATGGTGAATATGCCTCTGCCGCAGCTGCTCCCTCAAATTCCAGCAAGTCGACTTTGTTTGACAACAAGGCAACCACATAAGCAAACGAATTGCTAACATCACTTGCCGGCAAAGGAGTTGTTGAGGAAGTCCTTTTTGTTGTCCTGACAGTTGTGGTAGTCAATAAAGTACTTCTTCTCGTCGTCGTTCTTGCCGGTGTTGGCTTAGATGCCACTCTCCTTGGGGTAGTCATTTGAAGTGGCTTTTTTGTTGTCGTCGTTCTCGTCAAAGTGTTGGCTTTTGTTTTTGTCTTCTTTGTTGTCGATGGCGTCGTCGTAGTGGTTGTTGTTGTTGTTTTTGGATGTTTAGTTGTTTTTATTCTAGTTTTTGTCTCCTTTATTTTCTCAGCCTGCTCGACTTCTTTAAGTACATTGACTAGCGTCCTTTTGTTCGGCGGTGTTGAAATGTAAGAGAACACAGCACGATTGAGGAAACTCGTTCGCTCCATTTGACCTCGTCCGCAAAAGTATTCCGAACCGCTAAGCAGTTCACTTCCCTCGCCATTGAAATAGAACACCTCGTTGACGCATTGTGATGTGGCGGAGGGCTGAAAATGGTGGTGAAGAGGGTGCATGAAGAATGGAAGAAGGGAAGGATAAAAACGATAAATTAAATTTCATGGTAGGCTTAATTTTGTAAGAATAAGATGGAATTGGAATTAACCTAACCTATAGGATCTTCTAGAGGCCTTCTAAAGGACTATGATCAAATCTGCAAAAATACGTTCTATGGATCCTCATTAACATAGACAGGACTTCCAAAGCTATTCTACCGGTAGAAGAGCTTCTAAAAATAATCTAAAGAGGCTTCCTATGGGTCAGGTGATGCCACCCATATTTCAAAAAGACTTTAGACAGGACTTCCAAAGCTATTTTACCGGTAGAAGAGCTTCTAAAAATAATCTAAAGAGAGAAGGCTTCCTATGGGTCAGGTGACGGCGCCCATATATAAAAAAGTCTTTAGACTTCTTAGAATATCTGGAGGTTCCATTGATAGTTCCAAGATTCTTTAGGGGAAACATCGGTTTTGAAAGAAAATATCTGTAGTTCTAGGAATATATTCAGAATATTCCTGATTTAGAAGTTGTTCCCAGAGGGTCTTTAAAAGGATCTTCTAGAGGTATTCTAAAGGACTATGATAAAATCTGCAAAAATACGTTCTATGGATCCTCATTAACATAGACAGGACTCCCAAAGCTATTTTATCGGTAGAAGAATTTCAAAAAATAATCTAAAGAGGCTTCCTATGGGTCAGGTGATGCTACCCATATTTCAAAAAGACTTTAGACAGGGCTTCCAAAGCTATTTTACCGGTAGAAAAGCTTCTAAAAATAATCTAAACATAGAAGGCTGCCTATGGGTCAGATGACGGCGCCCATATATCAAAAAGACTTTAGACTTCTTAGAGTATCTGGAGGTTCCATTGAAAGTTCCAAGAGTCTTTAGGGAAATCATCGGTTTTTGGAAGAACATATCTGTAGTTCTAGGAAAATATTCAGAATATTCGAGATTTAGAAGTTGTTCCCAGAGGGTCTTTAAAGGATTCCAAATTTTTAAGGAAAGTAGAAATAATATTAATCCGCGATTTAGCATAAATGACTATATGGCTTTAAAATCCCAAATAAGTTTTGGTCTTAAATATTCGAGGAGGCTTTAGAAATATTATAGGGTTCTCATAAAGTTCAGAGGATCTATACAAAGATCTAAAGACCTTGGGAGGTCTATAAAACAGCTGAAGGTCCTTAGAAGTAACCGAAAATTCTTTAGAAAAAAATCAGAAGCTTTTAAACTACCCTAAGATCAATAAGACTTTGAGAGTCCTAAAAAATCGCCAGGTGTATAAGTGAAGATTACAATGTGCTGAAATGGCACGTTAGTGGATTTTAAGATATTTTTTGTTGACGAAAGATCGGGGTAAAGGACTGAAGGCTCAAGAAGTAACAGAAAATTCTTTAGAAAAAATCATAAGGCTTTTAAACTGCCCGAAAGATTCTAGAAAGAATTTCAAAAGGACTGTAAAGGTTCAATAGATTGTCTGGCCTCTCTATAAAATATTTAGCCATTCTATATCACCATTGGCCTACGGACCCAAAGCCTCTAAAGGCCCCAAAGCCTCTAAAAGGAAGGTCTCAAAAGCCTTTAAAAGGACTGGAAAGGCGGGAAACATATACAAGGATTTCAGGCAAGCCTCTATTAAAAGTTCGTTCGGAAGAAAAGGCAAGTCATAAAAACTAAGAGAGGTCTTCAGAATGATCTAATGAAGCAGAAGCTCTTCGAATGGCAAAAATTCATTAAAAGATCCGAAAGTCATTAAATGTCTAATTGCGCTTGGAAGATCTGTTTCAATTTTCAGAAGGCCATAAGTAAAGATCGTCATCTATAGACCCTCAATATTATATTTAGACCCTCAGGTGTACTATGTAACATATCTGACCTTCCTATAGAACCTATGGTTTTTTTATGCAAACATTCCACTCCCTCAATATTTCAAAATATATTTTCAGAAGCCCTCTGTAACCCTCAATATTATATTTTCTGACCATATCTGACCTTCTTAGAGAACCTTTGGCCTTTATATGCAAATTGTCTACTCCCTGTAGACCAGATTTCAAAATATCCCATTTTTAAGTGACTACGGAGACCTCTTTGGCCTTTGAATCAATAAATCCTGCGGAGCTATTATGGTCTTGCTGTAGAAATTCTGAGCTTTCTATTGAGAATCCGACATATATGTCCTCTCTTCTTTATATTTACACATTTACCGTTCTATGGACATATCTGATGGTCCTACAGAACCCCTGTCCTTTATATACAATTTTTGGTCTGTCTTTAGACGTTCGGCCTTCATTTTTATCTTATCTAAAGACTGGTTTTATATAAACTACCCATAGCCTCTTTCGACTTTCTACAACACTTCAGCGGGCATTGTTGAGTCATCTGAAGCCTGTGAAGCTACTTTAGACCCTCTGTCATTCATAAGGTATGAAGAAGACTATCCACAAACCCTCTAAATTATATAAGCTTTCATAGACCCCCTGGCCTTGTGTTTGAGCCTTTGAATTTTCTATGGATAATCTGGCATATCTGACCTTTCTATTGACCCCTTCTTCTTTATATTGACACCCTGGTCGTTCTATGGATATATGTATATGACCGTCCTATAGAACCTCTGACCTTGATATCCAATAGATAGACGTGCTAGTCTTTCTGAGTTATTTTGCCATTTCTAATGGCTCTCTTTTTGTATACACGTATGTCAATAGATTGCGGACCTTGCACAGACTTTCTCCATAGTCCCTTTAGACGTTCTAAAATCTTTCAGAAGAAATGTTTGGATCATCTAAAGCCTTTGAACGTACTCTATATAGGGTTTATATATATAGGCCTTGAAGTATAATCTATAATATATCAGACCTTCCTGTAGAATCCTGTGGAGCTTCAATACACCCACTGGCCTTTCTGTAGAGCCTTTGAACTTTCTAAATAAACTCTGGCATTCTAGTCGTTTTATGAACATATCTGAATGTCCTAGAATGAATCTCTGGCCTTTATCCAAATTTTCGCCTGTCTATAGACTTGCTAGGCTTTCTGGAGCTTCTCAGTCATTTAACCTTTGTAAAGACTCCCTTTTCTATGTACACTCTATATAGTCACTGTAGACTTTGTACAACGCTTAAGAGGGCATTTTTGACATCTGAAGCCTATGAACCTACTTTAGACCCGCTATCATTCAGGAGGAGAGAAGAAGACTTCCTATTGACTCTATATATAAAATATACCGTGGAGTATACTCTATAACATTTCTGACCTATTCTATAACCTTTCCTATGGTATTTAATAGCTTCCTCAAGGCCAGAGGGCTTGCTGTAGAACACTTCTGCACTTTCTAAGGATTATCTGGCATATCTGACCTTTCTATAGAACGTTTCCTATTTATGTTGACACTTTGGTTTTCTATGGGCATATGTAATCGTCCTATGCCCATAGGACGGTCATTTTGGTATTTTATAGCTCCCATAGCCCCTATAGACTTGTTGTAGAGCTTCTGCACTTTCTTACGATAATCTGGCATGTCTGTCCTTTCCATAGACCGTTTCTTATTTATATTGACACTCTGGTTTTCTATGGGCATATGTAACCGTCCAATGCCCATAGCACGGTAATTTTTGTATTTCATAGCTCCCATAGACCCTCTAGACTTGTTGTAGAGCTTCTGCACTTTCTAAGGATAATCTGGCATGTCTGTCCTTTCCATAGACCATTTCCTATTTATATTGACATTCTGGTTGTTCCATGAGCATACATGACTGCCCTATAGAACTTTTGGGTTTTATGTACCTGTCTATAGACCTTCTAGTCTTTCTGGACATCACACACATTTTGGTCTTCCTCAGGACTCCCTTTATATATATACAATCTCCATAGTCTCTTTACTGTTTCTAAAACCCATCAGAGGCATTGTTGGGCCATCTAAACATTGTGAACCTGCTATGGACCCTTAGATACCTTACTGTAGATCTTAAAAACTCTATATGGATACTCGGACAATAATCTAGGATTTTCTATACCTAATTTAAGTGTTACATAGACACAGGTGTTTGGGCATATGTAACCGTCCTATGCCCATAGGACGGGCATTTTGGTATTTCATAGCTCCCATAAACCCTCTAGACCCTCTAGAAATCCTCTTATTTTAGCTATCTCCGTATTCACATTCAAAATTTCAAATTACGATCTACCAATGAACCAATTAGGTATTAGCGAGGATACCAGGAAGAGTTGAGAGTCCAAAGAATAACTTCTCAGACCCTCTGAAATTTCTATGGACTATCAGGTCTTTTCTATAGACCTTCTGACCTTTAGGTCACCTGGTCTGCATAAAGACCGTCTAGACTTTCTACAGAACCTTATTTCAATTCTATAAAATCTCTGAGCTTCTTATAGACACTCTAGCAGATGTACGCAAAATTCTAGGTCTCTTTAGAAATTCTGGTCTAGTCGGCGTTTTTCAGGTCTTCGGTATAAGGTCCCTCTTTTTATGCGCTTTTCATTAGTCCTTTACCTTTTAAATTTATTACAACCCCTATGTACTAATTGCCCTCTGTGGATCCTCTTAGGTCCTCAAGACTGTATTTAGCAACACAGGTCTTTTCATAAACACTAGCCTGACCTTCCTATAGAACCTCCGAACTTTATATAGACACACAGACAGTTCTGGTCTGCCATAGACCATTTTAGATTCATATATTTAGTTCCCTTTTAGTTCTATGGACATCCTGATAGTTCTATAGGCATTCTTATATTTCTACACAACCTCTGTCCAAGCCAGATTGTAGATTTTTAGTCTATAGGAGGCCTATAAAGAATCTTCTTCTTCTATATATTTTATCGATCTTACCGTATTCAATTTAATATCACATTTAAATTTCAAGGCATAATCCTCAGGAGCAATCACCGTATAACGGCACGAGGTGCCAATTGGATATTCACCAGGATAATAGGGTGAGTTAATGTACAACTTATCACCAGCTTGCATGTTTATCTGGTGGTTACATTGTTCGAACAGGGCACCAATACTATCCAAGAATAACACACACACAAATAAAGAAATTAATTTCAAATGCAACGACATTTTCCGAACCATTTTTTTAATATTTTGAATTTCTCTTTTATGAAATCCTTTTTATTTGGGTTTCACATTAAAATATCCATATTCAAAATTTCGATTTTAAAATTTTTAAAAATTTCACTTTCTCAAATTTAAATTTCGTTGATGTTTTTTGGTATTTTTTCGAACTTTCTTCTTTCACTTCTCGGCGGCAACTAAATTCTGTTTCTATCAAAAGATTTATGTTGAACTTCAACTTCACGTTTTTTTTTTTCAAATTTTTTTCGGTGAAGTAGTTGTGTGCGTTTGTTTTTTTTTCGCCTCTTCTTTGAATTTTGACCTCTATCCACCTTCAAGCGTAAATCTCTGTTAGATGTCTGCTTGATATCTTCCCCCGAAAAAGCAAAAAACAAAATCAAACAAACAATGATTGATTTCAAATCGACGCGGATTTTGTTTTCTTCTTCCTCTTCTTGGCTTTTGTTTTTCTTTCAATTTCATTATCACGTGAATGAGTTACTATGACTTTGGTGGGAGATGAAGTGCCTTAAAAGAAACATGTTCTCAAACTGGGTGTTTTATCATTCTCCACTTGTTTTGTTTTTTTCTTGTCATGACTTTAAGCAGCAAAACTTGTATCGTTTGGCCGGCATCTTAAAGTCGCCTTGTTAGAGTTATTTCGAAGTTGTAACGTAATGGGTGATTGACAGAATTTTTGTGGTGTTGTATTGTTAACACCTTGTTATGACAGCAATGTGATGTCCACCTACGGGTATTTAGTGTCATTGGAGTGAGTGGGGAATTGAGTGATTTAATAATGGGGTATTATTAAATAAGTTTTAAAAATGACTGTGTAGAATTATTCTTTAGAAAAATGTGCTTAATGGGGCCAGAAAGAAAGTTTAGAAAATTGCTGATTTTATGCAGAATTTCCGATTTTCTACCAGTATTGTTTTTTAGCTATCCTTAGCTATTTTAATCATCCATAGGTTCTATACATTTTGTGGTAACTCCCTAAAGAGGACAAGGAGGCCTTTTTATACCCTTCACCACACTGTGGTACAGGGTATTATGTCTTTGTGCATATGTTTGTAACAGGCAAAAGGAAACGAGATAGACACATGGTTCCTTTTGAGAATATGCATAGAATCACTTTCTAAGTCGATTTATGCATGTCCGTCCGTCCGTCTGTCTGTCTGTCTGTGCATGTTAAATTGTAAACAAAGTACAGGTCGCATTTATGATCCGAATTGGATGAAATTTGGCATAGGTCACTTATTCGGCCCAAGGACGAACCCTATTGAAATTGGGAAAAATCGGTTCAGATTTAGATATAGCTCCCATATATATATTTAACCGATTTAATGTAAACAGTCCCTATATATCTTTCGATTTGCACGAAATTTGGTACAGCCTAATCATTTAGGTCTAGAATTATGTCTGCCAAGTTTCGTGAAAATCGGTCCAGATTTAGATATAGCTTCCATATATAGTTTCGTCCGATTTCATGTAAATGGTGCACCAAAGTCCCTATATATCTTTCGATTTGCACGAAATTTGGCATAACGTACTGAATTAAGCCTAGAGAGATGTCTTCCAAGTTTCGAGAAAATCGGTCCAGATTTCTATATAGCTCCCATATATAGTTTCGTCCGATTTCATGTAAATGGTGCCCCAAAGTCCCAATATATCTTTCGATTTGCACGAAATTTGGCATAACGTACTGAATTAAGCCTAGAGTGATGTCTGCCAAGTTTCGAGAAAATCGGTCCAGATTTAGATATAGCTCCCATATATAGTTTCGTCCAATTTCATGTAAATGGTGCACCAAAGTCGCTATATATCTTTCGATTTGCACGATATTTGGTATAACGTACTGAATTAGGTCCAGAATGATGTGTGTTAAATTTCCTGAAAATCGGTTCAGGTTTAGATATAGCTCCCATACATATTTTCGTCCGATTTTAGGTAAATATTGCACCAAAGTCCCTATATATCGTTAGATTTGCACGAAATTTGGCATAGCGTACGGAATTAAGTCTAGAACGATGTGTGTAAAATTTCGTGAAAATCGGTTCAGATTTAGATATAGCTCCCATATATATTTTCGTCCGATTTTAGGTAAATAGTGCATCAATGTCCCTATATATCCTTCGATTTGCACGAAATTTGGGATAGCGTACTGAATTATGTCTGGAACGATGTGTGTTAAATTTCGTGAAAATAGGTTCAGATTTAGATATAGCTCCCATATATATTTTCGTCCGATTTTATGTAAATGGTGCAACAATGTCCCTATATATCCTTCGATTTGCACGAAATTTCGCATAGCATACTGAACTAAGTCTAGAACGATGTGTGTTAAATTTCGTGAAAATCGGTTCAGATTTAGATATAGCTCCCATATATATTTTCGTCCGATTTTGGATTTATAAGTAAATTTGGATTTATAAGTAAATAAAGAACTCAAAATGTGGCCGAATGCAAAAACCATACTGAAATAAGTGTAACTTATATTTCGATATTTCGCTTTAAATTTATTTACATTATTTTCTCCCATCGTAAGAAGCAACTCTATACCTGACCAAAATTTAGTATAGGTTGTAGAATGGCATGTTTAATTTCATGATAATGGTTCTTCAATAATGCGACGTCTGTTAGGATTCATCTGTTTAATATACCCACAGTGGTGAAGGGTATCATATAGTCGGCCCCGTCCGACTTTACTACTTTCCTTACTGGTTAAAGCCTAGTTTAGGCCAATATGCCCTCTATACTTTCTATAGATCCTTTGTCGTTTATATAGAACTAGATCTAGCATTTCTATATTACATTGAGGCGTAGTCTAGAACATATCCAACCTTCTTATAGTACCTCTGGCCTTTATATGCAAACTTTTGTCTCTTTATAGAACCACTTCCAAAGTTTCTCTTTTTATAAAAATTATCAATAATCCCTTTAGATTTTCTACAACCCCCATGGCCTATCAATAGAATCATATAAACCCTGTGGAGCTACTATAGATCGTCTGGCCTTACTGTAGAGCCTTTGAATTTTCTATGGATAATCTGGCATGTCTGACCTTTCTATAAATCTATTCTTCTTTATATTACCACTCTGATCGTTCAATGGGCATAGATGATCAACCTATAGATAATCTGGCCTTTGGTCTTGTTTCAAATAGAACCTCTATAATATCTACATAACCTCTGACATTTATATAGACCTAGGTATAGCATTTGTAATCTCTTAAGCAATCCCATAGACCTTTCAGCATTTTCTGATGTTTTGAGCCGAATATTCCAACCTGAATGTCTGTAATTTGGTATTTCGGTTTCTCAGAAGATAAAAAACCCCCAGGCAAATCCCATTTTTGGTAGAATTTTTCATAGAATTCTAAAGTGTCCTCTTCCATTGAAGGTCCTCTTTTATGAAATATCAGAAGATTTTCTTCCATAGGAGGTCAAAGGTATTTTAAAAATCTCGAAAGTTTTCGTTTATTGAATACCATGAGTTCGTCTCTTGTTGAAGACTAAAATGTCGTATTTTCTATAATACCAGAAGAATGCTCTCTTCCAAGGAAGATCAGAGGGAAGATGTCTTTCGAACCTTCTATAAGTGAAACCTTCTTCTTTAGAATATCATAATAACTAGAGATCTTCATCGGTAGAAGACCACAAAATCGAATCTATAGATGACCTCTATTATATAAATGACCGCTATGTCTACTTCTATAGAGGACCTAAAAAATGTCTTCCATATAAAACCTACATGTCTTTCTGCATTTAAGATCATATCTTCCATGGAAAGTCGGTAGGTCCAGGTCTAAAGATCAGGGAAACTTTTTACATAGAAGGCAAGAAGATATTTTAACAGACGACTAGAAGGACTCCATTTTTTCTTCCATAAAATACCGGCAGGTCCTTCTACATTCAAGATCTCGTCTATAGAAAACCGCTAGGTCCAGGTCCAAAGACCAATGGGAACGTGTTACATAGGTGACAAGACCTTTTTCTTTTTCTAGAAATTTAAAAGGTATTATCGAAGTTCTTATTTCAAAAGGCCGCAAGGTCTTCTTCAACAAAATACTACAAGCTATTTTCTATATAGCACCTCTAGGTCGGTTTCCATAAAAGACTAGAAGGTCTACTTTTATAAAAGACTTAAAGGTCTAATTTTATAGAAGATCTCAAGATGTTCTTCCATAAAATACCAGTAGTTCCTTCTACATTGAAGATCCGATGGTCTTCTATAGAAAATTATAGGTCCATCATTAGGTCCGTACGATTTATTCTAGAAGGATAAAATGTATTCCGTAAGGTCTTATCCAACAGAAAATCATAAGGTTTCTATATAGGACCTCTCTGTCGGCTTCCATAAAATACCAGAAAGTCTCTTCCACACTAGACCGTAAAACCGGTAAGTTCAGATCCAAAGACCAGGAGAACGTTTTACGTAAAAGACAAGACGATTTGTTTAGAAGTCTGAAAGGTCTTATTTCAAAAGTCCAAAATATCTTTTTCAACAGAATGCCACAACTTTTTTCTATAGAGGACCTCTTGGTCGGCTTCCATAAAAGATCAGAAGGTCTCTTCTATAAAAGGTCAACTGCTAAAATCGCATAGAATTCCGTAGAAAATCAGTAGATACTTCTTCCATAGAAAACCGATTAAAATTATTCGTAGACTAGAAGGACTTATTTCTCCTATAGATTAGTAGGCCTTCTTCCATAAAAATCAATAAGGTCATCGTCAATAATGTTGTCTTCTTCCATAACAGGTCAGTAAGTCTCTTCCATCTTTCTTTTATAAAAGTCCATGATATTCTTTTCCGAAGTGACTAGAAAAATAAGGACTTCGATAAATAACCAATAAGTATTCTTCCACGGGATATCACAAGTACTTCTTCCACAAAAGATCCAATAACCTTCGAACATACAAGACCGTCTGAACGACCTGAACATCTTCTTCCACCGTCGCCCGGAATGTTTCCTTTCCTATGAGACTATAGGCCATTTTTGCTAG